AATCTTTCGGCACACAACGAACTGGCCGTACACCCTTATGCCAACATTCTACAGTGTTCCGAACAAGTTGGAATGCTGTCTCATCTGAGAATACAGTCCGACTCCAATTGTCGTCAAGATGCTTTTGAGCCCATGCTACACTTTTTTGCTTGTAGGCATTAGTAAGCATAGGTGTGGTTCTTGGGAGGGTTTTTTATATTCAAAGTCATTTAGATGGTTGGCAATTGTTGCATGCGTCACACTTACACCCATTTTTAACAACTTTTTTGCCGAAGTTCGTAAGTGTCTCACCGAATGTATTGCCCGAGTGCTTTCGAGGCATTTCCAGTGATTTTTCTCGGGCGACCATTACCACCAGCATGCTTAGTAGTTCCTGTTTTTTTCAGTTTATTTATATTGCAATATATTGTTGAGGGTGGTATGCTTGTATGTGCATGTAGCTCTTGGTAGCAGACATTGTGTAATAACGTATCAAAAAAGTTATGTATGAGTGCAATAAAAAAAAGAGAGAGTTTAAATTGATCTCTAGGTCTTTGTGTTTATTTTGAATTAAACTTATCGCAAATTGGTTCCAAATTGGGCATGATAGACGCGTTTTAGTAATTTCCGGGGGGGGGGGTGGGTTTGACACACTGTACTTCAGGAATGTTTCAAGTTTTCTCATTATCGCGAACATACGGATAAGCTCATATTTTGAGCATCTGATAAAGTAATCTTATTTTTGAGGCATGGTAAATGTATAGCGTTTATTGAAATCAAGCTAGCAATTAGTTAACAAAGTTACCGTTGTTGAAATTTATCCGTTAACTATATTTAGTGTCTCAATTAAATATATTATAATTAAGGCTAGCACACAAGGAGTTGAACTGTATTACTATTAATCTATAGAACACTTATCGTTTAGGATGCTGATTTTGAGTCATGCCTTTTAGAGTGATTTAATCTTAGCTCCAACCTGTCGCGAGAAGCTATACCGGAACAACAAATGATATAATTCCTTAATCGAAGGAGTATAATCAAGAAGGGTAACATTACTTCGATTCGTCGATTAGGAACGTTCCTGAATTTTTCCTTTGATTTCGTGTCCTTTATTAAGGTTTACTAGGTGCTACTTTATGCCTTTTTTCCTAGAAGGTTAAAGGAAAAGTATAGTAATAATTGTATTTTGTTTATAATTTAAAGCTTTGAATTTTTCCTTTGAAATGAGTACTGTATATTTAAATTTTGTACGACTATGATTACAAAGTATGAATCGAGTTATTGAGACAGGAAGTGATTATACTGCTGTACGTATTTAATGTCAAGCAATTTGTCTGCTGTATGCTCTTACTGTCAAGACTTCCAATCATGTGGTTTTATCACGATATACAGGACTCGTTATATCCAGGTTTATTGTTATCAAAACTGTTGCTAACTCCGTTTGAAGTTTCGGCAAAGCCTTATACTGTAGGTAATCCATAAGATAAGAGTGACGAACACCATTCGCAGAAAGGAACACGTGAAACAAGCTTTTATCACACAAAAAAACATCGGCAGTAACTCTTCTTAACGCTTAGATGTCTCATGAACTTACAATATTAACAGAATATAGTAGCAACAATACATATACAAGAAAATTATGCAATCTACAAATCACGAGAGGACATACTTGGCGCAGATAGAAGGCTAGAAACCTGTCACCGTAAGAAGCACCTAAAATATACAAGAAGTCATATATAATTAACATTCACTTGAATAGTATATAATGATTCTTCAGTTTAAATTAAAAACACTCAGACGTGTCCTAATGTCATCATGCATAGGAATGCGAATAATTCTCAGAAAGTGAAGAAATTCGTACTGTGATCTCATCCATCATTGTATTTTGTAGTTGCATTTAGCTCTCTCATCTACTACTCAATAGTAAATTATACTTACCAACCAAAACCTGTCCAGCAGATACCACATGGGGAACCCGGATCTTTCTTACCTAATATTTAACATTATAAACATTTATTTTGGTCATTGTTATTAGACTAACTCATGCACTTATGCTCACAAGCATACATCCTGGTTAGTACACGTATAAGAGGCATGTGCAACAAATCAGACACATTATCCTGCTATCCCTGTTATTCGTTGGAATTAATCACATTGGTAATATCTTAGTTGAATCTCTATTTCTCTAGTTGCTTAACGTCTCTCAAAATCCTTCTTACTTACCCTTTTGCTCCTTACTTCCGTTGCTTCGGCTCCCGTCTTCGAAACACAGATATCGATGAATAAATCTGTGTATATTTGGATGGTAGCTGTGATCATATGGTTTTAGTGTTTCTCTCAATCATGACTATCGACTCCGTAAATCGTTTCGCATTTTCTGCGGCAGTCGACAGATTTACATATCAAGGCAAACGTTTCAACTTTCATGACATGAATACAAATTTTACCCTCTCGTAGTTTTAGTTTATCACGTGATCAGTGATATCTTGTGCTACTATCAACCCCAAGCTCCGCTCCTAGATTCTGACAATTCGACTTTAAAAAAAAACGCATGAGTTATGAGGAGTTAGAAAAATCGCTATATGAGGTACTCGAATCCAATACTGAATTAATCGAGCTTAATAAAAAACTACGGGCTTATAGAAACAAATCTGATATTGAAACGGTATGTAGATTGCAAACTACTTTAGAAAAAACAAAAATAGATTAGTTGGAATCTAAGACCCTTTTCGTCTCACGTTTAGCTTCTTCCCTTTCTTTACGATTTTGTGCAAGCTTAACTTGTAAGTCATCCATTTCATCTACTTTTTTTATCGGAATATCAGTTATACCAACCTTATTAGCTGAAAAGCTAGCCCCCGGCCTAATAATATTATTGACTGAATCAGATACTCGAACAGATCTAGAACCGGATCCTGATCGGATCCTGATTTTCTTTTCTTTGACTTCCTATCCGAAGTATTATTTTCAGACATTATTTCAGAAGAAACAACACTATGTATTAGTTGCTGTTTGCGCAAGGGTATTCCTTCAGCATGTCTTTTCCAAATTTCATATATTCTACGAGTTGAAGTACTATATTTATAAGCCATTTCCCTGCATGCATTTTTAACCGTCCCTCGAGATTGAATGATTTCCTCAATAGCTTCTGGTGATAAATAAGGAGTACCAGCACGATAATATTCTACAGTTATGTGTTCCATCCTTTTTATAATTATAAAAAATTATCGAAAATTATTGAAAATGCTAAAATACGCCTATTTCTCTTATGTTAAAAAATGATCGGTAATTACCTTGTAGTAGGAGGCGCTTACGCTCCGTTCTACGAATCACGTGTCATTCAGCTCTCCCATTTGTATTAGATAATACCCTGTATGTAGTCAAGGACTCCTTGCTCTTTTAGAAGCAACGAGAGGACACTACAAAGCTCTATATTCTACATCATACAAGACATACTAATAACAAAGGAAAAATCTGGCTTAATGTTCTAATAAATTCAAAATACATGTAGAAGCATTAAAAAGAAGGTATTTTTATGAAAAATAGGAGAGATTTGAAATTACACGTATTATATCTTGCTCTCGTCATTAAGATATAGAAATACATCTGTCCAATAAGTTTTTAGCCGAAGCAAACGAGGAAATAATCTCTGACTTTGGACAAACAATGCTATTTCAATTAATTGTTATCCAGACATTGTTGAGACTTTAGGGCTTCTGTTTATATTATTATGAACACATCAGAAAAACTTTTTTGTTGGCGGATAACATCATAGATAACGTTATAACAGTCTTATTGTGAAGAACGAAACGGTCGCCACGTGAATAATTTTGGTAAAAACTTCATTATATAATGCTGTAATAGTAATGTAGAATAAATAAATGATGATAAAAATAAATATAGATGGCAAATCGTTGGACAGTAAGAATTATTATTCTAACTGAATATCCATTCTCGTTTGTGTTGAAGGATCTGTTAATTCTGAAGCGAATAGCTGTTTACTTTTATGTCGTCATTCTGCTACAAATAATTGTGTATATTTGAATGTCTTCTAAAGCAACTTTGTTAGATACCATAAAACTTTATGCAAATAGTATACTGTTCGAACATTATGGAAAAAAATCGGCATACTTCACTATGCACCACATAAGTCAGCAATTGTAACGGAATATTTTCAGAAGTAACAGGTAACACTTCCTTCCAATCTTCCATGTATATATTCTTCGAATCAAGAAAGAACTGAAGGAAAAAAGGTTTAAGGTGTTGAAAATTAGGCAACATTGCACAGATGTTAATGGGGGGGGAATCTGAATATTTGCATTATCGAATCGACTTCCCATAATAATAATAATTTGTTGTGGATTTTGTTCATTAATAGTGGAATACACTATTGCTCTGACTTTGTAATTATAATATAATGGAAATGTGGGCAATAAACTGATTAATTTTACTATTACGTTTTTCACAGTAAATCTAACTAAGCAGCAAACAATGTGTAATTCTTAAATTCAGTAAAAACTTCTGTGACTGTCACTGGTAGAACTGTTTCATATTAATATAGGAAATAATATTGGGAAGTGTGCAAAATTTTTTAAAATTTATAAATTGATTTTATGAAACCTGTCAAGTGTGTCGTGCCCGGCTGGCGTAATCGGATAACGCACCAGACTTCTAATTATAGTTGAAATCTGGGGATTGCGGGTTCGAGTCCCGCGTCGGGTAACGCTTTTGTTCCCTTGGCGAAAAGGGCTTCTGGTTATCCTGATTTGCTTGCGTTATGAATGACTAGCTGAATAATTCGACATTGCCTATTTATGTCGATATGGTATAGGTGTGAAGTATGTTTATCGTTACCTCTGGTCTCAAAACAGCATTTGATACTCGTCGCGTTGCTTTTAAAGCCTACACGTTAGAACACTGATATATATATACACAAACATAATTTTTCGATAATAGGTTTTATTCATATAAATTAGGCTTTTTATTACCAAACTATTCAATCAAGATATTTCCTATTTTTAATGGGTGATAGTTCTGCGTCTTCTGCTTCGACAAGCGTTGCCTTGTCAACTTCCGCAAAAGCTAGTCAGGAAGACCCTACGGCCACAAACAAAACTGTGCTTCATACGAACGAAGCCGAAAAGTCAGGCAGAGTTGAACCAAAAAACGCCGAAGCACTGGTCGATGAGGGCACGAAGGCGTTTGCTTTGCACGAGTACGAGACGGCCGTACAGAAACTTGGCGAAGCCTCTCAGTTGATGTAAGAAATACTTTGTTGACTCTTCGTTCTACACACAGCAATCGCGGCCACATTCTTGTCAGGGACACTGGTCGTTGGCACATGTACAGGTTAGAAGCGACTTTGGGCTTAATCTTCAATTTGTTTATTAAACGACCTTTAGAGGTGTGAGCAGTGGTCAAAATTCGCGAGAGTATGCCGATGTACTCATTCTTTATGGACGAGCTTTGTTGGAGAACTTTATAGCACAGAATAGTGTATTAGACAATAGAGTACTTGAGAAGACCAGTGCTGTATCAGGTAACTAAATGTGGTGAATTTGGGTTTTCGGGTTCACTAATGACTGCTTTATTGGTTTCAAAATCAACTTAATTTACTGAGATACCTATTGCATCGATAGAGGAACAACCGTCGGTAAATAACCAGAGTTTTTTTTTTGAGGGAGAACCTGATTTTGCATGCGACTTCGAAGAAGATGAAGAAGAGGAAGAAGAGGAAGAAGGGGTTGACGGCGATTTAGCAGAAACAGGCGGCGCAACTGATAATAGTCAGAATGACGACGACCTGTCGGTTGCATGGGAAGTTCTTGATATCGCAAGGATAATCTACTCAAAAATTGAGGGTGATGATGCGGAAATCAAACTTGGAGAGATATACATTTTATTAGGCGACGTGTCCCTGGAAAACGGTAATTGACAATTCGCATTTTAGTATGATCTGTTTCGCGAATGACTAGTTAACAAATTATCTACAATATTAATCAGAGGCGTTTGACCAAGCTGTAAATGATTTCCGGGAGGCTCTTAACATAAAGGTTCGCCGACTTCCTGCAGATGACCGACAACTTGCGGAAGTATATCCTTGGTGGTTTATGTTGTCTTTATTTATATATATAAACAAATTTGACAATCCTTGACTCCCTTAATACGCATTACAAATTGGCACTCGCAATGGAGTATAGTACCAGCGAGAGGGACAACGCAGTGTCTCACGTTCAAGAAGCGATTCAGGTATTGGAGCAGCGTAAGAGGAGTCTGTATGAAAAGCTTACTATTCTTAATGCGCAGCAAGACGTCAAAGGGAAAGGTGTGGCGACGGCAGATAACGACACTGACGCTATAGATAAAGAGATAGGTGAACTGAATGAACTGTTAATTGATATGGAAACAAAAGTAAGTATCGTAATTTCGCACTTGCAGGCTCAGTCCCACGTATATCTACTTATGATTCTTCACGTAAAGGTTGAGGAGCTTAAAAGCGCCAAGCTTGTGCGAGATATGCAACACAGTTCTGTTTTAGATGAACTTATACGGCTTACGACCGCTTCGAATGCAACGACAGCCTCGGAATCTGCCTCTGGTTCCGGACAAGCATCAACTTCAACGACAGCAACATCAGCGACTAGCACTGTCAATGATATTTCTTCTCTAATTAAACGGAAGGCCGTAGATACTAATAGCTCTCAGTCCGAGACCAGTACCAAGGAAACTATAGTGCAGGAGGAAAACTCAGTGATTATACCACAAGAATTAATAGAGGGAGAGAATGAGAAGAAACGCAAGATGGAGCTGAATGGCGAGGAGGTTGCAAGTGTAGACGGGGCTCAAAGTAAAAAAACAAGAGTATGAATATAGTTTCTATTATCCTTGTTCACTAGAAACAAGTTTTATGATTTCAACATTATTCGATTTGTAAGCTTGCTTTCGAATAAGCAATGTTACATTCTTTAATCTTCATTGAATTCTCATTTATTATTATGTCAAACGCTGCATGATTGCTAGAGAGGAGATTGTCACTTCATCCTATAGCTGCCATTACATCGATATGTAAGTTATCAGTGAAGATTGGAGCAATCTATCTGTCCAAGATCATATATAATAAGTTTTTGCTAAATATTGACATTAATCATGTGGTTTGTCAGGCAATAGAGGTTTAGGACCATGGTTGTCTTATCGGACTACCGTGTCAGCGCCACCAAGCTACAGAATTGACATGTATGTAAGACCTATAGTGCTGATGCCCCAGTGCCATTTCTGGCAAATGAATACCAAAAACTTGCCTCAATAGCTTCTATTTCATCAGACGTTAATTCTGTTCTTCTGTACTTGTCGGGCAGTTCGTCATAATTCATAAAGTGGATATGCTGCTCCTGATGATTCTTATATGAACCGCCGGGTAATGTAGCTCCCTTGGGCGCTAACGGATGAAGTTGAGGCGTGGGATCCGCTGTCTGTACTATACGTCAACTAACTATTTAGTAGAGCCCACCATCTATAATCATGTCTTATATTTAATTCAATTTAACGACAATAACAATTAGCAATAAATCAATTAAACATAATCACCTAATTTTCTCCTCGGACCGAGAAACTTGATAAGCGGAACACGTTTCTGAACAATGTGAGTGACTTTGGTGAGATTCATAGTATGTTACAGTCCTGAATGTCTCGTATTCGATTGATGAACATCTATTGTCGTACAATCGGCAGATTTAATTCTGACGCGGGACATAGATATGTCGCGTCTTGAAACTTCTTTATTGCATTATGGTAGGTCGCGAAGACGTGTCAGCAGGAAGTTTTTCATTCTTCGCTAGTATCGTATATAAAACTGGCTCATTTGATGTGAACTTTGTATAGACTGACCGCAAACGCAGAAGAGACGCTAGCCCAACGAACAGTCCTGTTCCTTCGGGTTCAGTGCTACCATTTAGTCCTATTGGCAGCCCACTGTCTGATAGTAATGCTTCCGCTGTAGAGGACAATGTTATCGAGGATGATATTGATTCAATCGAAAGCGAAGACGATCAAGGAGAGGATTTGTTCGGGTCGGATATGGAAGCGTAAGTCTGCAAAAACTTTCATCTGAACTGGGACGGGGGAGGAGGCATGTACTACACCGCATGTATTTGGTCAAGGCTAATCTCGCACCAACTTATTCAGAGACTACCGAGAAAATCGTCGGCAAGATCGTTATGAGAGTGAGCATGTGGACGATCAAGTATATGACTCTATGGATCCAGAAACGCGTAGGATGGCTGAGAGAACTATGTACCGAAGAGATATAGAAGAGGGACGGCTTCCTGCTGCTTTTGATGACGATGGTATGTGAACTCAGTTCTGATTAACAATAACGTTGTAAACAAAGCCGTGTGATACATAATCGTGTCGCCATGAAATGAACGTTTTATCCAATGCATATGAATGTTTACAGAGGACAGGCGGTATGATGCCTTTAGAGCTCGAGGTCGATTTTTCGATGATGTTGACGACATGGATTTGGAAATTGCCGAAGTGGTACGTGTCTATATGTAAACTATATTCGTTGGTCAGTAGCAGACATATTCAATAAAATTTTATGCAGGAAATCGATCCAGTTAATTTGAATGATATAAAAACATCATCAATTAATGAGTGGGTTACGTCTGAGGGTCCACGTAAGGCAATTAAGACAAAGTTCAGGTCCTTCCTGGCCAGTTACAAGGATTTTAATGGTAATCCTGTGTATGGAGCTCGTGTTAAAACACTTTGCGAAGGTAAGAGTTGTAAACGTATTTGAAAATTTTAAACATTATTTCTCGATGGTACTTATTTGAACTTATTACAGAACAAATCGAGTCTTTGGAAGTAAGCTACAAACATTTATCAGATGCTGAACCGATATTAGCCACATTTCTTGCAAAAGCACCCGCGGAAATGTTAAAGATATTTGATGAAGTCGCATTTAAAGTTGCTCTGCGATATTACCCTAATTATGGGGAGATTCATCGGGAAACGCATGTACGCATAGTCGACTTACCCACGTTCCACACTCTGAGAGACCTCAGGTATATCTTTTAATAGATTGTGCTGTGATTATACTGCATCATACGAGATATTAACGGCATACCTAGGCGAACACACGTAAATACATTAGTACGGGTCTCGGGTGTTGTGACGAGGCGAACTGGAGTGTTTCCGCAATTGAAATACGTTAAATTCAACTGCGCCAAATGCGGAAACGTCATGGGACCATTCTACCAAGACATTCAAAACGAATTAAAGATTAGTCATTGTGTCCACTGTGAATCACGCGGGCCATTTTTATTAAACGCTGAGCAAGTAAGCAAATATCGACCATTAGATTCATACCTTTTAGCCTCATCCATAATGATATTTCCTCTATTTGTCTATAGACGTATTACCGGAATTATCAAAAAATTACTCTTCAGGAGACTCCAGGGAGCGTCCCTCCCGGACGGTTACCGCGCCATCGTGAAGTCATTTTATTGTGGGATTTGATTGATTCAGTCAAGCCAGGAGAAGAGATTGTAAGAAATTGTAATCGCTTTTATTTTTATTGCTGTTTGGAATATTTTTCTTACCTACTTTATCTGAATAACGTAAATAAGGAAGTTACGGGCATTTATCGTAATAATTTTGATGCAGTACTGAACGTAAAAAGTGGATTTCCAACATTTGCGACTATTATCGAAGCTAACTATATAAGCAAAAAGGATGATTTGTTTTCAAACTTTCGATTATCTGAAGAGGATAAACAAAAGCTTGAGGCTCTAAAGAAAGATGAAAATATAGGGAGCAAGGTCTGTCATGGTAACAGCACATTTTTATAACTGTTGTGGACTAAAATCTCTTATAAATTCTCGATAATCAACAAGTAGATAATAAACAGTATAGCACCGTCAATTTACGGACATGAAGATATAAAAAGAGCCATTGCCTTGTCATTATTCGGCGGTGTCCCAAAAAACGTTGGAGGGAAGCATCGGTTACGAGGTGACATTAATGTTCTGTTATTGGGCGATCCAGGAACTGCCAAGTCCCAGTTTTTGAAATATGTTGAAAAGACTGCACACCGGGTTGTCTACACCACAGGACAGGGTGCGTCCGCTGTCGGCCTCACTGCTTCTGTGCGAAAAGACCCTGTTACCAGAGAATGGACGCTAGAAGGCGGTGCTCTTGTATTAGCAGACAAGGGCGTATGTCTGATTGATGAATTTGACAAAATGAATGATGCTGACAGGTAAATAATACATAGTAATATGTATACATTAATGGGCGATGTCACTAATTATTCATATATAACAGGACTAGTATTCATGAAGCAATGGAACAGCAGAGCATATCGATTTCGAAAGCCGGAATAGTGACATCACTTCAAGCTCGGTGTGCAGTTATTGCTGCAGCAAATCCTGTCAGAGGCCGATACAATACATCTGTCCCCTTTTCACAAAACGTGGATCTCACAGAACCTATTTTGTCTCGTTTTGATGTAATGTGTGTGGTCAAGGATATTATTGATCCGACCACAGACGAGACTTTGGCCAAATTCGTCGTAAACAGTCATATGCAAAGTCACCCTGATTGTCAGAATTCTGAAGAACAGGCTCTCTTACAGTCGACGGATGTGAGTGTCACGTTTCTACAATGAGATTATTAGTGTTAATATGCACAAACTGAATCCATTCAAATTTAGCTCATAGATCAAGAGATTTTGCGTAAGTATCTTATGTATGCGAAAGAAATAGAACCTAAACTACACCAGCTTGACCAGGACAAACTATCTCAGCTATATTCGGACTTGCGCCGCGAGGTAAAACTTCACAGCGACAAATCTTTTGCCTGGTAGGAATTCTCGCTAATGTTGTTTTTGGACAGGCTGGCGATAGCATACCGATTACAGTGCGTCATTTGGAGTCTATGCTCCGCTTAACCGAAGCCAATGCAAGGTAACCTTGTGCTCCTATAATGCATCAACACTTTCGAATTATAAACGTTCTGCTTATTAAAACCGTTCGTTCCTCAGAATGCACCTTCGCACCCATACGAACTCTTCTGATGTGGACGTCGCGATAGACGTTGTGCTACAGAGCTTTTTTGCTTCTCAAAAATATTCAGTGGCGAGTAGGTTACGGCGGGTAAGAATTGTACTAAATGCACTTCTTGTTAATGGGAAGGTTTCTTACACTAATAATGCTTGCTTTCTGACAGACTTTTGCGAAATACATCAACAGAACTCGTAATTACCATGAAATACTGTTGCATGTATTAAACACGATAGTGCGAGAAAAAGTAAAGCTAGTGAGAGCAGAGAGACCGGCTGACGCACCAAATAGAGTTGTGATAAACAAAACTGAATTACAGAATCGGGTGTGTATCTTTGGTGATCACCGTTCTATTTGTCTATTGTGATAACTTATTATTGTAACTTTTTTAGGCAAAGAATCTGGATATCCATACAATTGAACCATTCTTAAAAAGCAATGAGTTCAAGAAAAATTTCAAGGAGGAGGGAAATACGATAGTGAAGTTCTTTGCTGAGGCATAATATACGCGAAGACTAGTTGAGATAATATTATTTGGAATAAAAATTTCTTTAGAGATCAATAAACTTTTTTGTTAATGCTTGACCCATTCGACACGATTTCGCTTATGAGCATTGGCGTGGTTAAAAGCCAAGGCTTTTTATAACCTAGAGACTCTAAATGTCTGCCAATTGTACGATAGATAAGACACGTCGATATTTATCATGGTTGAGGCAAGAGAACGTAATGATATATAGATTTCGCTATATTGGCCGTTATTGTACAGTTGAGACTGATTACTTGCTAGATCAGGCACAGAACGGATACCTTCATTCAGTTAGTAAAATATGACAAAGTTATACAGGGGTTGCAAAAAAAAATTGGACAAATTAACTTGCTCATTTCTGCACAGCCAGTATTTCAAATGTCGCATGATATATAATTCGAAAGCAGGTTTGATTTATGCATTGTTATTGGGAAATTTGATCGCTAGCACTAGATCACACGGTCTCTTTATTGATTCTACCAAACTAATTAGAGTGAGTTTCTGGAATAGAACTCCATTTTTTCGTCATAAATTTTATGTATGCATTTTCTCACATGTTTTTTAACAATGGCCCAAAGATTTAACAAAGTTTAAAGTTCTGAACTATTAGTAAATTAGTATATAATTTCAGGAGCATATTTTTCAAGAAATGAGTATGCTTTAAAGTCTATCAAAAGGTTAACAAGCAATGCTAAAGTGTAAACAAAATGGGAGATAACAGTTTCAACACATTCTACATGGTATTGATTTATTTTAGACACACAAATAAATGACAATGGAATTTTGTCGATTTTTTTGCAAACCCCTGTATATAAAATCAAAAATGCGAAAGACGGTGTTAACTATTACCCTGCATATGGATATTAGCAAAGACCCGCGAAACAGAAATTAAAAAAGAAATGTAGAAGCAAGCGACACCTTAACGACAATTGGAAAAACACACTATTTATTGAGATTGTGGGTCTTTATTATCACACTATCTGTTTACTGACGAAGACTGGTACAATGGTAAACGTCCAATTCTCGTATGCCGAAAAAACCGAAGGAAAATTTTTGTCTGGGGTGGTTTTTCTGACAAGTTTATTTTGCTTCCAGCGTATATATATATAATCGATGGCAAATTTTACGTGAAAACCACCTTGGTGAAATTGATAAGATGCCCAAGGGCTATCGTTAAGATAATAGTACTTCAGGGAAAAAAAATACATATTATTATACTTAGCACCTTGTTAAGTTCTAACACTTTGAAGTTAGTCGCATCGTTCGAAGATTTTATTCTTTTGCTTTATTTAATCCTTGTTACCCATGTCTAGATGTTGACAAATAAAGAACGCAAAACTCCATGTGTGCCTAATAAAGACCTCTTGCTTTATTTCCTTAATTAGGTCACCTGATATTAATGAGAATATCAGATCGGTCTACGTATACGTGAAGAGGAATGCTAAATTCATTTGTGAAGTGCTTATAATTACACGCGTCCCATCTCCACTCTTATTTTTCACGAGAAAATTTTCACGCCCCCTAAATATGTTACGACTTATATCTCCAATTTAAAAATTTTGTATCATGTAACAGCCCTCCCATAAATAAATGACTGGGCAATACTACAGTCACTCTGCTTATACCGGAAATATATATACCGAAATCTCACGGACAGCGTTCGTTTCATATGAAAATTCTTTGTTTATACCGGAGTCTCTTATAAACTTTCCATATACCGGTTCCGGAACCTAACTATCGCGAGGAAGGACGAGAACTATGCCAACCTGTTCGGTATAAGCAGAGTTGACTGTAATGCAACTAACTAACTGTTGTAACCTAACAGTTTCGCCTGTGTGTTATGGAGTATCTAATAATAAGGTATAATTTGCGATCTTTATTTCCCTTTCTTTATTATCTATGCTATGCACAAAAATAAAATAAAATTTCTGAGTTTATTCAATAAGACCAAACTCTCGAAGATGATTCTCATACGTACGTGTAATACCAGACATATCTTAAAACAATTGATTTCGCAAAGTTCTTTTTTGAGCTGATCACGCATCAACTTCTTTTTAAATCTTTGTATTAATATGTTATTCATTGTTGATTTTAGTTATGACGTCATGTTTATTTAAGCAATACATGACCCCTTATTACACATCCATCGGAACACAGAAATTTATATATTCTTGTAGACCATCCGCCCATATTTTTTAACAATTTTTGCAGAAAGGCACTTACCACCTCGTTCTTGTACTTCTTGATCGCGTCTTGTACCGGGATAGATTTTTTGTCTGGTATAACTGTTTTCGACCTAGTATACTGCATCTTCGACACCAAGTTTCCTTAAGAATATCGTTGCCCGAAATCTTCCACTTATGCCTTCTTTATACTGACATTCAAGAAGATTCCGTCTATTAATATACTCAATTGAAATATTCTTCACACAATTGAAGGGCCGGCATGATTCTTCCCTTTAAACGAGATCTACAATTTTTTTTTTACTTAACCGCCAGCCCTTTCTCACGTGATATTAATATTAATATGTGCCGTCTTAATTAATCATGGAATTTACAATTCGCTTGGGTGCACTTATAGAGGTGTCACTGCATATATGCTAATAATTGAAATTTAGCTTTTATAACTATTTTTCCATACTTAAAATAAGGTTTTAAATACTAGTTGGGATTTTCTCCCACTCTTCTTGAGGGCGTTTCAGCCATTAATCTCTGAATTTTCAATTGTCATTTTGCTTTTTTGCGAATTGGAGCATCTCCATAAATGGTACCAAATGTTCTAGTCTTATCAATACTCCTAAGCAGTCCTAAGTAAAGCAACCCCATAAAACGAATGCCGCGATGGAAAACCAAAATAACCATTGATATAACGCTTGAAGAATTTTCTCGAAAACTATGCTGAAATTCATGGATTACCAAGTCCTGATAGAAATGTCAATCGCATTACTCAATTGCTTACATTATTGCCAGCTGAAACAAGTTACAAGTCAGTCTATCGTGATTTTATTGCAGGTCTCGAAAACAATATGATATGCGTTTCGCAAGTTATGGCACCAATTAACACCTTATATTCAAATTATGAGTCCAAGAACGGATTTATGCGACACGTGCCAACATTTTCGAAATGGATTACTGTAAGAACATCTAGTTAAAGCTAAGTTAGAGAAAATTGGTAGATGAGTTTATAATATTAAAGGCACAGACAAATAAAATAAAATTTTCAAGATTTTTGGTTAAAGTTTTTTTGCGCTTTCGGATAAATTCGGGTGTGGCCCAGTTTTTCTCAACACTCAACTGTTGAGATCTTGAGACTCAAATTTATAATTTTAAATTTTTAGAACGTATAAAAATTTTATTATTAATTTCACTGCAAACTTTGCATGTCAGTATTCGCATAGGAGTAAGGGTTATATGTGGATTACTTTTTAACGATTTTTTAAATATTCGACTTGTATAACCTAATTTTATAAGAGAAAGTCGGTTCTAGGTAAATTCATAATTTTTACTATCTAACATCTTGTATATTTTTGTGAATATACACTTCTCAACAAATATTTATACCAGTGTCTTATTGTACTTGTTAGTGAATATGGATGGAAGACCACCAGTCTTAAACAAGCAGAGATAAGCGTCACCTTGAAATTATTGTTTGATCCAATCAATCGTCGACAGACAAGATCGATTGCGGTGGTGCCGAGAACACAAGGAATGGACAAATGAATCTCGTTCTACTTTGTTCCAAGAAAAATAACTGTTAAGCATGGTGGAGTAATGGTATGTTACCATGAACACGCGGTATTATACCATTCGTCGCTAGGTGATTTCTGACGTTTTCGAAGTGAGTGCGACCAATTCCTAACATATACGTTTTCTGACAAAGTGGCGTATTGCGATCTCAGTAATAAAACGTTCTCTTATTGGTACGCGTTTTCTTTTTAAGACGTCGACTGGCAGTTATTTCTCCGCCATTCATTGCTTTCAGCTGGGCCATTAAAAATATATCTTGTTCGGAATTAGAGAGAGCTTGAAACGCTTCACGTAATTCAGCAAACTTTTCTCTTGGAATCTTTTGAGAACAACCACAATTACAACCCATCTCCAAAAAATGTATTGCCTTGTCATATTCAGTTGAACCGTTATAATTAGAATTTTTCATATACAGGTACTCCTATATATAATTTTATCATTCGTAATAGTTTTGAAACGGGTATGTGTTTTAAGTCTCAAAATTTTGTCTGCATGTTGATTTAACTATTGATACTTATGCTATAGTGCTGATAATAAGTAATAAGTAAATCATCCAGTTTCATTCACAAAAGTAACAGATAATTGGTTTATTTATTATGTAAGATATCAAATACATTATCTACTGTGATTCAACTGTTAAAATTGTCTTTAGAAAGGTTCAAATTCCATGGACCTCTTTAAAAGATCCAAGTCATGCTCCACTATGATCGGTTTACCACAATCAACATCCTTGTGCCATGGCACATCTTGGCTCATAAAATAAGGGTATAAAGCCTCACCTACCCGCCCACTCCAATCAAAGTCAACAATTTTCATGTCTTCCATGTCATTTGAAACCATAATATTAGAAGTACGAAAATCACCATGCACATAACCTCCCTTGTGCATCAGTCTTGCAGCAGCCTTGGCTTTCTGCACTAATTTCTTCTGGTTTTTTCTGTCATTTTTTAGAATGTAATAAAGACTTTGATATTCAGCTAAGTATTCCATTACAACAATATTCCAACCCCCAGGAAGGTTATTGAATGCAAAGCACTCAGGAGCTATTCCCTTTTCTGCACAATATCGGTGAGCATCCTCACAATATTTTCTGGTAAACTTCACTATCATCAATTTATCTTTGAACTCTTCATTTTGACCTTGCACTATAAAAAGCAATTTGCCCTCAGACAGTTGATTGCTGTAAATAAACTCAACATTCCTGTTATCAAATGTCTTGAATGAGCAAGGATAAGGAAAGGCAGCTGACCGTTGAAGATTAAGATCACTGATATCTGGTATTACTTGAGGGGTAGAATAATAATCTACCAATTCTTTTAGAGCAAGTTTTAATGCCACTAAAGTGCGGACAATAACCATCATCATTTCTGGAGCATTCTTTAAATATAGAAGAGGCAACATAGAAGTGAGAGGCTCCATTGTAAAATCATTGCCAAAAACTGCTCCCGCAACACCAAGGTATGGGCCAGCTATGTAAATAATAAAAGCTGGATTGAGACCATTTTGTATTGTACTGTTTGCATTGGTACCAATTTGTTTGGCATATGAGGCACAAGCCTGTATATATGGACATCCGCTCCCTTCACCAATTTCATTTTTCATTTCTCCAATTAAGAGACTGAAAGTATTTTTACCACTTGAGAAACCTGCCCAAAGATCAGCTTCCTGACGAGGTCCTGGGAGTGCCAATTTTGTAACGTCAAGCTCGAAATAATCAGACGCCCACTCCGAAAACTGATTCCGTCTATCATCCTCTAATTTGAAAGCCTCTGTCATTTTCATAGTGAGTTCGATAACAGAATTACAATCATCTTTTGAAATAAGACAGCTAGTGCAATTTTCCTGAAAGTGAGCAAAAACTTCATGGTACAGTGTGACAGGAATGTCTGCACTGTAAGGTCTGTGATTGAAAATGATTGGATCGTTTTCCTGACTCTTTTCCCATTTGCGTGCTTTGCAAAAGCTTGAGGGTGGTGGTAAGTCTGTAATACGCTTAGCCTTTTTCAGAGCCGCGCTGTACGTATAGTCTTCCGCTTGACGTTTTAGTTCTAAATATAATATAAGAATATTTAGGAAGTAATAAAACAATCCACAGTACGGAAAAGTCAACTCTAGCTTAGTACATCTTCATAATTTAAGAAGAACCGTATTGCTACTCTAAGGCGAAACAAAACCACTCGCCTCTGTTTCGATTATGAGCTCACGTTACATCAAGTACTTACCACTACCACTAGCTTCTATTCATTGACGGAAGGAAAAGGGGAAAAGATCATAGACTAGTCAATTAATGTAAAGCAATAACAACACATGAAGAGGACCCATACTACTACGTCTACTCTACCCTACGTACACAACGCCTGAGTCACAAAGTCGTTACCTGTGGTGCCCACGAAGGAGTCTATGACTCGCTGCCTAGTCGCTTCGTATGCATCACCAAGGAGCTCCTTCGCGGCTTCTATTTCCTCCAGCTTTTCCTTCAGCGTGGTCATGTTTATTGTGTAGGCGAAAATAGTGAACGTGTGCTGCGCGATGTGATCTAATTAATATACACTGATCAGTGGCTTAATCAATGACGTATTATTAGGAACTTTCTAGACCTTTCACAATGTAACTATTGTTCCCCTGCATGCATAATGTGACCAATGATAATCAATGCGCAGAAATTTGTAATAATCGTATACCGATATTATAACATTTCGAATAAACACTCTAAGCGCAATGAATATTGTAAAAAATAAAACTTGGAGTAAGGCCAGTTTAGTTCTCCGTAAACAGGCGTTATCTTGTGATTTGTAGTCTATATGACAGCACAATGAGGACCTTGTTTTTATTAAGTTGGCACAATTTGCGAGTTTTGTTTTTTATTTAAGAATTTAAATATGCATTGCAAAGATTAACGTAATCAGATATATACAATAATTTTGTCATCTTGACTTTATTATCTCTTTAAAAATAAGTAGATATATTTGAAGATTCACTAGAGCAATTGCATGGGAGGAAATACTCGGACCCAAAGCCATTAATGAGTACCCCAATACTTTGGTCGCACTAGTGAATCTATGCTACATATTATTTATTACTATTAATGTCTTCTTCTTCTTCACTCCTCCTTTCTTTATCTATCCATCCTTGAATTGCTTCGACGGTTGTTTTTCGAGGGTTTGTTTTTCGCAGGTAGAAGTTTTTCAAGTTGAGACGGCAACGCCTTTTCCCTCGCGTAACTCGCGGATTTGAGTGGCCACTTGATTAAACGAAAAATCCGAGTCTAACTCAGCTTTCTTATCGAATAGAGTTTTAAAATCTTTCCACAAACTTTCAATATCAAACGAATAATGCGGCTCACTGAGCGGTTTACTGGATTTAGATTTTACTTTGTTTTTCTTTGATTCGACTGCTTGAATGATTATTTCGAGCTTTTGATTTATATTGTCGAGTTGAATATACGTTTTATAGTAAAGCAAAGGACCAAAGACAAGGTCGATCAATAGCCCACAAAAGAATTCAATAGTGGAAAGAAACATTTTTGATGATCAGTTATTTACTTTTTTATAGAACGACTTGTTTCGGTATGACGTTGGAAAGATTTGTAGTTTTTTTTAAAAGCAAAATTGAATCAGGTTATGCCGTTTTATAATAAATTCTCGGTTTCATCAAAATTGCAAATTCATTATTATTATTATTTAACGTATTTAACGTACATTTAATATTTTTAATATTGTGCGTCAATTTTAAAAAATTGTGACGTAATCGCCAAATTTGGAAAGTATCTCCTGCGCTATTCTTCCTATAACTTAAATTATAATATTAAGTGTAAGTCTAATTATAAATATACGTAAACATTATATCATTACCCATACCAAATGACGTGCATATTCAAGACACTAGATCATGCGTTAACAAAACACCTTTAGCGTTCAATTGTAGGTGTAAACAAATAAAGAACGCAAAATTCACGCGTTAACAAATATCGTGTACATATTAATTATTAAATCGGTTATTTTCCGAATCGTTGAAATATTCTAACAAATATATAAAACAATTTCATCCGACATTTATTGCGCTATTTTTCTTTATCTATATAATATAATAAATAATTACAATAAATATTTGCTAAAATATTAATAATTTATAATCGATAAATAAACAGATTTGTCGAGCACATGTAATTCTGTAACGTTTGCAACAAATAAAACTATAAAAATAACCGAACTGTTATAAAAAATTTTTTTTTAAAAAAAAAAAACCAACATTTGCAGCCGATTATTCTACGTATCGCAAAACTATTCGCCAACGGCGGGCAGGCTACACCCTCATCTCTAGTTAAACATAATTACGATCGTCTCCTAAAGTTTGGTCCGGCTGCCCTTCTAATGATTTATTTTTGTGATCCGCTTTTATTACTTTCCATATTTATCATTGTTTCTAACAGATAAAAGGTTACTACTCATAAATTGTATCAGAGTTGTAGTGCTTGGAGCAAATTTATTGCCATTCTTACTGAACAGCCTATAAAAAACCGTGCAAATTATAAAGAAACAGATATTTGCTTTATGTTTCCAGCTTTTATTTCTTTCTTTGTTCATCATGCGTTGGCTTCAATGTTCGTTTATGGGTCCTTATTTTTCGTTCTTCTTGATAAGTTTCATAAGTAATTTTTTCTTTATCTAGATATTCCTGGAGAGTTTGGGTATTATTGATTTTAAAAACATAAGGCGCAATTTTTTCTCCTTGAGCTTTTTTTAGAATGCTTCTAATAGTGCTGTAATTCTTGGGTTCCATAGTGGATTTGATGTAAATTAGTTTCATATTAATATTTTATATATAGAGGTAATCCTATATTAATCCTGTTATAGTTTATATTCCTCACATTCTGGTATGATAAAGTGAGCATTAAAATTAACAAGTTCAAAATGTCATCAGTCACGTTGGTCAATTTTACAGCCACATCATAATCAGCCTCTCATTTATGTTACATAATAGAATGTTCATTTTGTCTGGTTTTGTTGCAGCATGCCCCATTCAATGTCATAATTTTGACATTTTGATACTTCACATAATCTTACCATATGCGGAATTGTTCACGTCGTGAGTTTGAAGAAATTTCACAGTCCTAGTTCTATATAATATTGTAACTCTTGGTATTACATAATCTTTGTTTCCGAAAATCGATCTCCACTTCTTATGTGACTTCTGATATATTATTCGCGTATTTAATATTGTGGTGCATTATTATTATTATAGAAAGACTTGATTCATCATAGGGGGCCTTTTAGATCGTTTACCTCCGTACCACTCAGACTCAGACTTCAGTATAATTTCTATTCTTATGCGTTGTTGCAGCTGAACGGAAGTACCTATTGCTTATGAGTCTATAAAATGCTTAAGAGGCTGAAGTTAGCCAGCTTACGGATGCCAGCGGACGCTGTAGTATTGGTGTCAGACCAGACAGGAAAGTATTTATTAATCAGCTTAACACAATATGTGAACGAGAGTTTATACCTTAACGATAGATAGCATGAAGAGCCGCCTGCAAATTTTAGCTATTATATACCTTTCAGAGCTAAGTTTTGAGACTATTACCCGGTCAAATTTGAACAGGTGACATAAGGGAATTAGAATTAACTATTAAAATTTTGTAATAAGGCTACTATTTTAAAACTTTAGTGTAACATTTTTTATTTGCACCTTCATACATATTACTGAGAAACTGTTAATAATAACATGTAATTATCTTCTTTTGTTACACACTGTAGCTGAGCTTGGGACAAAATGGTGGACTACAGTACCAAAAATGTATGACATATAGTAAATTTTTTATCACTCATTAAACCACAAAAGGTAAACATGGTTTATTCTCCTTCTGGCATGTTTCTTTGGGTGGGTAATCATAAATGTTCTTTGTGAAATTTTTGGCATATTAATATGCATATTATGTCTTCTGTGAAAACATTTTGGAAGCTAATTTAGTAACTTTGTTCTTATTTAATTGTGACATTGATGGAGAGCAATGAATATAACAGAAAGGGAAACAGTATAACAAAATTAATAAAATATACTGAAAAAAGCAACATTGTATGAAAGTTCTAGGTCTCTACCAATGAATCTGGAATGGCAGATTGAAAGATTGAAATCAATGATTGTCTCAAAGTCATATGCAAACAGTAAATACTGTAATCCTTAGTTATTACCAACAATACTATCTTCAAGACTAATTATAATGGATGAGTTCTTATTCTATTCTGTTATTATTTGGTCCTGGTACTTATTTTGTAATGGAATCCAGGCATTTTTGATTGCCAATCAGTATTTTCAAACTTAAGTTTTTGTAACTTTGGTAAGTCAGCCTCAAAGATTGATCTTTCTCCAAATATCCAACAGTTCTTTATGTGTATACTTGTCAATTGATAAAACTTAAACAGTTCAATGTTCAAATCATCTGAACCAAAGTGGATGTGTTTCAAAATAATTGATTCCAGAGAATTTGACTGTGACTCCTCATCTTGGCAATTACATAATTTCTAGTAATTGTCTTTAGTTGATGCTGAGGCTGTATGAGTTTTTGCAATCCATGATGTGGTTCTTGTTCAAAGCTATATTCCCAATCCCTGCAATGGTAAACTTTAACTGAAATGGATTCCAAATTATGTGCTACCCTAGAAAATGTAACTATTTAAATTTGAATACAATAACAAAGTTTGCAAACAGGGGAGGCTTTTTGTAGGAATTAACAAAGTAACAGAATGTCCAAGAGAAAGAGTTTTGAGATTGGGACAATATTTAATTGTCAAGTGAACAATCCTGACATACAGACCATCCAAATCGAGTGTACTCTTTCTGGTCAATTTGAGAATCTCTGAAAAATGAATCTCTTTTAAGTAAAGATTGTAATTGAACAGAAACTTTTTGCTGTCTTTTTTACACAGTCGCAACGCGTTCTTGAGGTTCTTGAGAGAATTGGCATCAGTAAAACATTCAATAAATGTGGTTATAAGGTTGTCCGCTAATAGGCTGGTTTTCCCCTTGGACTTGAATACAACAAGGTGAAAGGTCTGGCCCACAAGTATTGAAGAGCTACCACACACCAGTCTCTATTAACTAAAATGCATGAGTGAAGTGTAGAGGAATCATCTGCATGCTCGTCAAAAACCATGTCAAGAAGCCATGTTTCAAACGAGACAGAAAGACAAGGTCGGGCTTATATACAATTTACTTTCGATTGGCCATCAACCAATGGATTTACCGTATTTTTCAAAAATGATAAGCATGTTTATTTCATGAACTAGTAGTTTGTATCCTTTTTGGTGTTTGCTGAAATAAACAAGTCATCAAGAAACATCTCTCCAGTTAGTACCAGGCTTGTTTTGGATTTAAAGTACGCATCTGCATATATACAGTTTGGAAAGAAAAATCTTGCCATCTGTATACGCATAATAAGGGAAAACAAGCTTTTTTGCGGTTCGGTGTATCTTTAAATACTTAAACGTGAGATGGATGGTGTATAGTGTACAGCATATAGATAGATATGATAGTCCACGATATTGTCCTTTTTTCATTTAACTAACTTATTCAAATAGTCGCGAATGAGGAGACTTCACTCTGTCATCTAATGAATCTGATTCAGACTACTACTATCGAGTCATTTTATCATTTGGGAGATGGACGTTCTCAATAGTGCGCTTCTTACAATCCTTGGAGGGTAAGTAAAGTAGTCGTACTACCATTGCCATGTATTAATAGCTTCGATTCCTATGAATAAACACTGTATTAACAATAGCCACAATAATAACAATACATCCTCGTAATTTCCATTAATTGCAGCTCGACGCTATGACCTAAATAGACATAAGACATTCATTAGTATACAAGTGATACTGGTACCAGCGACAGATACATTCTCTCTACCTAGCTGTGCCTATGCTTCAAACCTGATTTTAATGATCCAGTCGCGTTCTAGTGTCAACAATCATTTCACATTCCAATCGCTAATTACATTATTTTATAGAACCGGAGTATAGTATATTATCCCGTATCTTGGAACTTACAAGAATAATCGATTTATGCTAAACCAGATTTGTATAAAACTGGCACCTGCATTTAATCATGTGGGGGAAATTTGCATCAATAGGGGTTGCAATAGGAGTAACTTATCGATCGCCACTATTAACAAACATGTACTATTACTATTACTATCAGGAAAATGTTATTGTTTATTTTGGGGCGGGAAGTTTGCGGTTAAGTTTCTAAATTTAGCCAGTGATCAATTTACTATTATTAATAATATTTATTCAAGAGATGGTCATCCAATCACTGTATCGCAATTTTCAGTATTAGTATGTCCCATTTATAAATCATCCTTAAAGACTGCCAAGAGAATACAATCCGGAGTCATTTATGGCTACGTTATCTGCGACCGATAGTCCAAGAAGAACTGTGTCGTCACCCAATATTACAACAAAGCCTACTTCACATAATGGTATTCAGCGCTCTTGTTGGAATTTTTACCTTTCACTTTATATCTAACTCATTCAACATTTGAATAGCGTTGGAAGAATCTATAAGAACGTACAAATTACTTGAGGCTTTGCGAGCTGGTACGTCTAGACGAATACATTCTCTACGCCTTAGTCAAGAGATCTAACGTCTTTGCATGTCGCCAGGTGACACAGCATTATTATCTACCCTTCTATCCACCAAAGAGGAAACCGCGTCAACATTCCAAACGTCACCTCTTACGCTCGCTACTCAATGTGCTACAACAGCCACGATCAATTTCATTCTGAATAACTTTTCTAGTATAATCGATATCAATCAGCGCGATCAATATGGTAATACAGCGTTACATTATGCTGCGAAAGCAGGACGAACAGACGTTGTTGAAGTATTACTCAAACGGAAGAACATCAACGATACAATACTGAACAATGATGCAAAACAACCAATCGACGTTGCTAAAACGCCAGAAGTAGCTGAAATCTTGCGAGGTGAGATTTTGAATTATACGTCGATCTCAAGCATGGCTATTTTTTTATATCTCAACTAATACTGAGTTGCCAGTTGATCGAAAACAGTATATAGAGCACGTTACTGCCCTATTTCGACAATTCGTTGGACAGAATAATTTTAAGGCTTTACAGAATCTATTCCATGACCCACGAGCTGCAGCCTTGATAGATATCAATCATCAGGATTCAAGCACTGGTGCCACTCTGTTGCATGAAGCTGTTCGAAAGAAAGATCTGGAAATGATAGAATTCTGTCTGGATCATGGGGCTGACGTGTCGATAAGAGATAGGAAAGGAAAGTTGGCTCTTGATCTCGCTAAAGATGATAGAATAAAAACAATTTTAAAAGATGGTAGGCTATTAGTCGCATCCGAATCTGAATACTACAATGTGTAATCGCTGCTGAACACGCCATCATTCTCTTACAGCTACGAATCAAACTAGTATTATCACTATAACTTTACCAAACCAGCAGCCAAAGCTGAAAGGTTACCTGCACAAGTGGACCAATTATGCTGGTGGATATAAGACAAGATGGTTTGTACTAGAAGATGGTAAGTTTTCTTAAACGCCTGATTTTCATTCCCATGTCTGGCCCTATATAAAAGGAGCACTCGCTAAACTGTTCTTTCATTAGGCATCCTATCGTATTTCAAGAATCAAGACGACGCTGGAAACTCGTGTCGTGGTTCTATTAGTATGAAAATAGCACATATAAACCCTGATTCTTCCGACAGACAACGTTTCGACATAATTGGTAAAGGCTCGATACGATATCACCTGCGTGCGAATCACCCGAATGAAGCAAAGAAATGGATTTTGGCCTTGCAACAATCTATGCAATGTTATAATACAAGAAGGCCGAGTCTAAACGAGGAAATAAGCATTTCCCCTGTCGCAGATGATGGTGCGCGTTCAAGTCGAAGCATACAACGAGCCGAGAATGCTAGTTCATCTCAGCGTGAGCGGTCGAGATCGCCGTCTGACGATTCAATTGAAGCCGACGAGTTGCCACACGGTGAGAATTACCAAATGTCCATTAGTTCCGCGAGGGCACAAATAGATCTGCAAAAACAGCTTTCGCGGTCATTAATAAATGTCATGTCCGCTAACGAACTATCACAATTGGACAATAAGATTGTTGTTGAAACGTTTGAAAAATCACTTAACGAGTTGCACATTTTTGTTGAAGATGTAATACGTATGAGCGAAGATCGAGATTCATATTGGCAGCGAAAGGTTGGGAATGAATTAGAGGCCAAAAGGCTCTGGGAAGAAAGTATGCGAGCACTGACGATCGAACAAGTCCAGATGGAACAGGTTATCCAAGATAATATATTAGAGCAAAAAAGAAAAAAGCGACAAATGCGTGCAACATATTCTGGGAGATCAGTATCTCCAATATCGCCACATGCAGATATGTCAAACATAACTGATAGGGGTAGCCAGTCGGATCTGGTTATGACCGAAGTATTAGAGTCTATCGAAGTTATACAATACGGAGAGACTGAGAGATATGATTCGGATGATGAATTTTTTGATGCGATGGATGCCGAAAATGAGGAGCTTGCAGAAGTGGCCCGTGCGCTAATAACCCCGCTTACAACAGACAAGTCCGGCGTACTACAGCCTTACATAGCACCATCATATGCAGGATATCCACCAAAAATACGTGAACGACTTCCGTTGGATCAGAAGTCTCTACGACCAGAAGTATCGTTATGGTCTATCTTGAAGAATTCTATAGGAAAGGATCTCAGTAAAATTACATTACCGGTGTACTTCAACGAGCCCACGTCCATGCTACAGAGAATGGCCGAAGATATGGAATATAGTGAACTTCTTGATATTGCAGCAAGTCAGAAGGGCAGCACTGAGAGAATTCTATATGTTGCGGCATTTGCAATGAGCAATTATTCAAGCACCGTTGGAAGGATTGCTAAACCATTTAATCCCTTGCTGGTAAATTAGACTATCACAAGCTGTCTGTATATTCTCTCTAGTCTTGGTGCATTATTTCTAATTGCTGATGGGATTCTAGGGGGAGACCTATGAATATGTTCGACCCGACAAAGCTTTTCGATACGTGTCTGAACAAGTCAGCCATCATCCGGTGAGTCTTTTTATCGCTGATTGTTGCCTTTGAACAATGTAAAACTTGTTGACTGTTTTATCTTTAATTATGAAAAAAGCCCATAAGTGCGTGCTATTGCGAATCGCCAAATTACGAATTTTTTGCAGAGGTTGATGTGAAATCAAAATTCTGGGGAAAGTCATTCGAAATTATGCCGAAAGGAGTATCGCATGTAAGCCTAAAGGTTCCTAAAGAATATATGCCGCCAGATGCTAAACAAACACCAATAGACGCGAGCGACAATCCAGCTGCTTTTATGGAACACTATTCATGGAAAAAGGTTACTACTTGCGTGAACAATTTAATTGTCGGAACACCATGGATCGATCATTATGGAGATATGGTAATCACCAATCATCTTACGGGAGACGTGTGTGTGTTGACATTCAAAGCTCGTGGCTGGCGAGGAAAAGATGCGTTCGAGATCAGAGGACATGTAAAAAATTCACAAGGACAAGAGGTCTGGGAAATAGCTGGACGATGGAATGAACGGTTACTTGCAAGGCCAAGTGGTAATTGGTCTTCACAAAGTGAGGATGATCTTGGTAGTGATGCCGCCGCAGCTTCCGCACATGTGGTCGATGGGATATCACCTACAAGTAATCTACCAACTCATTATCGTGGCAAAATAGTTTTATTATGGAAACGGACACCACTACCTGAAGAACCGATGCCTTTTAATCTTACACCTTTTGCTATCACTTTAAATGACCTCCCGGACTCGCTAAAGCCATGGTTGGCTCCAACTGATTCTCGTTTGCGACCTGATCAGCGAGGGCTTGAGACTAATCAATACGATGTTGCCAGCACTGAAAAAGTACGTCTTGAAGAGAAGCAGCGGAGCAAACGACGTGCGCGGGAACTTGGGCAGTTACCTGAATGGAAGCCACGATGGTTTGAGCGTGATACTGAACCAGATACTAACGAAGGATATTGGAAATTCAATTTCGAATATTGGAAGGAGAGAGAGAGGGTCGGAAAAGAGCGAATAGATGGGGCTAGTCCTGCAAAATGGGATATCGTTAACGAAGACATTTTCTAAGTTACTAATATTATAGTGCCAGAAGTTCGATTAAATACGTGACTATTTATGTATCCCGTGTTATAGACTATTCTATTCTTATATGACCAAAAAATATTATTATATATAGTTTGCATCATTATTTTAACTAGAACATTTTAAACATCTGTCGATAAGGATAAATGGGCGCTTGCCAACGTTCCGGAAGTTTATTCCCTAAAGCAAATTAATATATTCGCTCGCATATATAAAAAAAAGAAATAAAAAATTCAATGCTTTAATTTGTTACGTTTGACCCTGAACTTGCTATTGGTATTTGTACGTTACTTGCCGATATGTCGGATCACGAACTTGAGTTCCTGCTTATAATTCCATGATATGATGAAACACGTCACGTACTATATATTACTTTTAGCTGACACATATAACTTACTGGGTAATCGTGATTTAGCATCCGTGCAGTATATCCAATCTGACTACAGGTCAAACCTGTTTAAACCGGCGGACCTGGTTTGCCGATTCTTGGCCGGTTTAGCTAAGGACCGGTTCAAAAAATTGTTCAACTAGAGAAAGTTTCTAATTAATGAAAGTTTGGTGTAGTCTTGAGGCGGCTGGTTAAACCCGAAACCGGTTTAATCAGCGCCGGTGTAAACAGGTTTGACCTGTAATCCAAAATTGATCAAAGCCATCGCTGTTGTGGGTTGTTTTACCTGACGATGACGGGCTTTGCAGAAGGTTGATTGGATCTTCATTCCACTCCTATGCAAACGATATTCTGAAAAGACAACGAGGCTTCATGAGTGCGTTTTGTGCCTAGCATAATCACTGATGGTGCTGTTGATAAAACAATAGTCATTTCCAGGGAGAAGAGTGTACAGCATCATTGCACACAACGTGTCTCCCCACTTTGTTACTTGTCCCTTACTCTATGTCCCCAACGCCAGAATCGCATCCTATATCCCCTACACAACGGTTGTTACTTGCAGGGCTGCCTATAAAGTAGTCTATAATTTGTTGTCTTGTGGTTTCGTATGCATCGCCAAGAAGTTTTTTGGCAACTTCCAACGTGCTCATATGTATTGATAATCGCGTTTACATACCACATTATTTTGCTTATTTAGCTATAGTAACGTCATTCATGCATAGTGGGGACCAATAAGAACTGATGCGCAGAAACTCGTTGACGAATAAACTAGTAGTTAGACACCCAGTTTACTTACATCAGCCTATAATAATAAATCCGAATGTCGAAAATATCTTTGATTTCCCCGCATAGATATTATCTGCTGGATATTTTCCATAGAATAATCCCAAGGCTAAAAATATCAGATTTCTCATCTCGTTTACTATCATTGTCATCAAAGCATTTAGGATCAAGGTATGCATGAGTTCCTCGGTGATCCGAATGAGTCTTTCGTTGTAACAATTTTTCAGATGTCCCAAAATCCGACATAAAAAGCAATATATCAATGTATAATCTACGTTAAATAAATAAGACCAAATCTTTATGCAAGATTCTTACTCTGTGGAAATCAAATGTTAAACAATAAAGGACTACGTCGCTTGAATTGTTATTATTTATCAACACAACAGTGCTTGTGTCGTTTCGGACTGTTACACGATTTTATATTCCCACCAATAATGTTACTCTTTAGATATTTATTATTTCCTTAATAACTAATGTACAATATTACTGACAAGTTAAAAAGATTATAACATTTATGACATTTGATCTCGTGTATTATAAATGTTTCTATGCCTGGCGTTACAAAATCAGGTAATCCATAATTGAAAAACATTTACAGTACGATGACGATAATTTTATAGCACGATTAAATTCATACACATAAACAAGAGCGAATGCATTGATAATCAACCCCCCTGGAAATTACATGTTCGACGCCCAATAATTCCAAACAGATTATCGTGCGATTAATTCGCAGAAGAGACAAGCGTTCAACAATCATAAATGGTGTGACGGTAATTGTGTGTTCGATATCGAACAATTCGTCTTGGCTTTGATTTTGTTCGTTAGAGGCCTTCGCAAAAGTAATGACTACCCGTAAAATATTCTCGATTTGTAGGAGGGAAAGTTTAAAAAGTGGCTGTCAGGGTAAGTTGATTTAACTAGTGAGTTGATTAAATTAGCTATGCTCCCTCAAAAAAAAAAAGGCATTCTTTGAAGGGCTTGTATTATCGGAGCACGCAATCTTTCCGGTGTTTAATGTCTTGTGCGAGTTGTCTGCATAGAAAATGTGTTTGTCTTGAGACAAATGTCGTGAGAAATATGCAAGTGAAATGATTATATAATCATAATAATGTCAATATAATAATATCAAAATATACTCTTATACTCGGATCGCAGGCAAGGCAACTTCCGTTGTACAGCATATCTAAATGAGCGGCAATCAAGTTGAAAATAGATCTCGCGTCATCCATCTTCGATTGGTTGGCACACCCAAGAAAGTTGGTTGTGTGCTTTTAAGATATATGCTTTGATCGTAATTCTCGTATAAGATTTTGCAAGCATTTCCAGATGTCATACAGCTTGCATATAACTACAATTACATGTTTGCGATTGATGTCTTCTTATTGGGTTTGTTAGAAGTCTGCTTACACAACATGTGTATAGGAAAAAAATCCATATGCACTCCCTACAATGGAATATCCAACGTTCTGCCACAAGAGCGCAGCACCATTTGTCTAGATTCAACTTCTACATCACAATGAGAGCTCGATGATGTTGTGCTTACTGCATGTTGATATTCAAATAGCAAAACCTGAGAAACACAGCAATCAGACGACAGCTCCATATGATGATCACTGGATTACGACATTCGACTGATCATGGAATCGTCGTTGGAAATAGTATTCTCATTACGATATTACTGTATGTACAGAAGCATAGGTAGCGACAAGTTTGCAGTGACTTTTTTGAGGTCTGAAGGCGTGTGGCACACACATCTACGCTAACAAAATATCAAGTTATGCTTGCTATTAGGAAAAAGAATCCCACGGTATAGGGAAGGATGTAAGGTCGGTCTGACTGACGGTTCTGGGATGTCTCTCAATCACTATCGAAGCTGGTGTAGTTTCGCGATAGGATTTAGCAAACTTCCAGTAGGAAACGAATTTTGATTGATCGAAATGCTACTTGTTTATGGCGATTTTACTCGTTCCTATGGGGGAAATGTGCGGATTAAAGAACAAGAATCGATATCTGTTGAATCGTCTGATACAATTGTCTTTGGTACTAATTGACAACAACGGTCTTTTTATTGCCTGCAGTCTTGTCTTGTGTGCACGGATTGGGTAATGCTGTATCAACTGCTTGATTGTCCCTTCTCGAGATCTCCTTGTGTTCTAATAAATTCTCGTGAGCAAATATCAGCCTGCCGTGTCGGTTCGGGAATACGATATTTGCAGCATCTTAGTACCAATCTTATTGCAGTGTCAAGACTAATGCGATGTCCAACAGATACGAATATTGGATTTGTAGTGGTATCCAAACTACGGACGGCCTAATTTGGGAAGGAGGAGGAGAGAGAGTAACAATTTGTTGGTCATAAGTATGCCGGAAATTATACAATCTAACTAAGCGATGTCATATATGCGATTTGTTGCACATCGAGGGTACTGCATTAGTTGGGAACTCGAACGCAAAAAGTCCAGCAGGCAGTTTACAGATCGGGAAAACCACTCTGACCATCCTCTAAATCCCCGCATCGCTTACCGCACCATAGACAGTTCCTGACTGTCCTTTCAAATAATAGACATCTCCGCCTTTCTTCAACACATCTCTGGTGACTTTCTTCACGTGTGACATGCTTAGTTCCACACCATCATCAATCTGCAGAAAGTTTTTCCCTACTCCTATTGTTGGAACGTTGGCCAACACACCGAGATGGCAGGCGAGACCAAACTGACGAGGATGGAGTGTACCATTGCCATCGACGATAATGAATTGGGGAAATATTGAGGGTTGTTTGGATTGTAGGGATGTTATAAGAGAGAGAAGGGGAGCTACTTCGCGGAAGGCCAGGAAACCTGCAATGTAGGGGTGGTCAAGTGATACCTTTTGATAGTCGGTGTATAAGATCTTTTATTCCGGAGGGGGGGACGATAGTATAGAGTTGTGAGGATAAGGGGGAGGAAAGCATTTGATTAGTTCTCGTGCATAACAGTAGCGACGAGTACATTAAAACAATAAAAGAGCACAGCTGTATTCCCAAAACAATTCTGCATGCATACTATCACAATCTCAACAGTCACAGCCTTTATCTTTTTTCTCATTTTGGAATTAGAAATAATCTCATACCTCCAAGGCTGGATATGCAAGGACCACCAAGGACGCGATTGCATCATTGTTGTTATCTTTCACAAAACTCAAATCAACGCCACCAATATAGCGTAATCCACTGAAATCGTTATCAGTGGAGAAGGAAATATCATCGGTCTCAATCAAACGGGATTTCAGTGTTAGTTGTTGGCTATTATTGGTAAAGATAAAAAAGGGGGGACAAGAATGAGTGAAAGATGTAGAAACCACATTGGATCATGTATACCCTGTAGGAAATTCTTGGCTTATCAGTTGTATTGTTCTCTCTCAACTTACTGCATCCATTCTTCCCGCTGCGCATCATCTACGCTATCTCCATTGATTTTTATCTTTTTTCCTCCTTCATGCATCCTGAAATAAGATTAGCTATTGATGCTATTAATAATTAATGTCAATAGGGTCCCCTAGTCAATGAGTGGTTTATATTTATTGCGGCAAAAATGACTCAAACCATACGGTTAGGAAGATCACAAGAGGCATTTTCGCTATTGAACGAATATGTGCTTATTAAGCGTATTTGGGAATTGCGGCACGATGTTGATAAGCCCCCCAAACATTAATAAAAAAAAAAAAAAATTGCGTGCCTGATACGCTGTGTGATGCAAGGGCCGAAGACTTATAAATAAGGAATGCGTAATTGAGAGAATTGTCAGTCTTAAAACTGACATCTTGTCAAAATGTATACACAAAAGATACCGACGAGATTATCAACAAAGCATTCCACAAGCCTAACAAATTTCAATAATGAACGAGTTCTCGGCGGGCATGTAAATAGACAACGTCGTCAATCTCTTGGATTCTGGCCTTTACAATGGAATCGCAAACGCCCATTCAAGGTCAAAATCCAGAAAACCGTTTCTGGCGCTACGTGCGGAAAATGCGCAGGGCCCCTTCTGTAAGGCAGACAAACTGTGAGTACATGAAATACGAGTCATGTGTTAATTTAATCTTGTAACGATAAAAAAAATACTCACATTGCCCTTATTACTTTTTCTGTATATTTTTGGTAAACAGGCCCGCTTCTATTGTTTCTTTCTATTTACTTATAAAAGTTGAATTTGGAAGGCTTTCTTCATCTACCCAATTAATTAAATTCAAATTATTTTATTCTATCCATGTTTAAAATTAAAAATATGATTGTTTTATTTATATGATGATTTAGAACTGTTCGTTCCAAATCACACGAAACTAGTTTTGTGTGTTAAAGTAAAGAGGGTCTTCCAAACTGAACTTTTAGTATAGAGGAGAATAACTTTGTATGTGCGTCATTTAATGACTAATAAATTTAGTATTTAGTATGAACAGTTTCAACTTAAACTGATAACAGTAGATTCGATAGTCTTGGCGATCATAATCAGGGGTTATATTAAAGATCGACATATCAATTTAATATTGAGACACTATTCTCTTTTATATTATTGCTAGAGTTGGAAACTACAATTGTAAGTTGCAATTTGCCTTCCACATTCTAATACGGAAATAAACATCTAACTGCTCACTTCACTAAGTTAAATATATTATCGAGTCCGATTCTTATATCCGATTCTTATTATATCAAATCTTGTCGTACCATTAACATAAAAGGAAATCAATATGTTGTTTCAATAAAATGGAATCTTGTCTCTCTGCCAATCAGCCAAAACAATTTACCATGCATTAGGAAATGTGTCACACATATGTAAATGTCACGTTATTTTATGTTTCACTGTAGGGAAATCCGGCCCCACGAATTCTTTATAAAATTTACCTCAAATTTAGTCTACATTTGGAAGCCATCACCTTTCTCAATTTGTATTTGGGAAATAAAGGAGAACATAAATTATTTGTTTTTGGTTTCGCCTTTTCTTGCTCCACGAGTTGCGTGAAAATTACAGCCAATCATTAGTTATTTAATAGTTTTACTATTTGAGATTGGCATGCGCCTTTTTGTGGTTACGTAACCGGGATATTTAATATCTTGCTTTGTTCAGCAATAATGTTATCTTAATTCGGGAAATGAGGGCGTTATTTTGTACAGAAGTCTCTGGGCTTGTGGTGCTTTCTAATTTCCGTGCTTCCTTTTGTTTTGTCTATTACACCACACCAAACTTAGGCACTATTTCTACGGTTTCCTAACGCTTTAAAACCTTGAAATAATTTCTCACTCAAGACCTTAGATACTTGACGTCCGCTTCCTATATATACTGTACCAGGCTAAACTTCTCTCTTACAGGACTTTGTAAAGGTAACTACTAATAAGTCACTAACATCACTTGCAAATAATAAGGGAAGACCAGAACTCATTTGCACACTTTTTATTATTATTATATAATTCGATTGAATATTAACCAAGCATCTAACATTTACTTATATAAACGCAGTTTATACACTCTAACCTCCATAAAATAACCCTTTATAAAGGAACAATCTCCTATAACGAGCATTTTATCGTAGAACGGATCCGACCCATTAGTAAAATTTCCTTTATATACAGTAAAAACAAGGAATACGAACGTAATTTTGTACTGCAGAACGCTTATATTTACATTTACCTCCGTATACAGTAAGAACCAAAGTCTGTACTGAGCATATATAATCGTTTAAAAACCAATCAGACTAAAAAGCATAAACAGAAATCAGACCGGAATTCAGCTACATTGACATTCTCGCAGGGTCGGCCAAATTAAAAATTCTATTCAATATAAAAGTCCACCAAAATAACACCAATGAACGAGCTGCGATCAATGATGCCTCCATAAAAATACTGTCAATATGCTAAAAAAAAATCATGCACAACGCTTTTATAATACCCATAAAGTTATTAAATGGTAGTATTATTTTTATTCTACCCTACTGCATTAACACAAGTAATATTTAGATGTTTTTGCCTTTATTTAATCTCTTAATTCCATCGAATACCATGCTCCGCGTACAGTCTCTTGCAAGTCAAGTTACTATTCACATTAACACCTTCAAAGTTTGTAAATGCCTCTTTCCAGTAAGTTGTACCACTGATTCCTCCTAAGAAAGATAGTAATAGTTCAGATGGAATTCACAATAATATGAAAAAAGGGCCTTGATATAAGTAAGTGCAAGTATTTACCTAATCTCAGGGTATAGCTAAATTGCTCCCACAGCCTCTGTATTAGTATGCAGTCTGGATCAGAGAGAGACACTGAACCTAATGCAGGAATAATAAATAATTATAACATAGATCTTTCAACATTGCATTTCCACACTATGTCTGCAGTGCATTCCCTGCTTCTCGGTTTTTTGAATTGAGTTTACATATAATAATAACTTAACTATCCTCCCAATAAAAATGCATTGCTTAACTTGTTTAGACTTTTGTATTTTTGGACTATTTCTTTATGGTCGGCATTAGGATTGTCGGTTTTGTATTTTAAAATCAATATAACCAAGTCCATGTCCATGTTGTCAAATTATGAGAAGGAAAGCTGATAGCTTAAAAAATCGGCAGTCGCGTGATTTAAAGCTTGATTTCATAGTACGTGCACCAGCCGTAATATTAGTTATGGTAACACTTTGCCGCAGCACTACTTTCTATACTATTGATTCATAAGGCTAACGACATCTAATATGAGTTATTTAGCATTATTATTACCTCTTCATTTTATCATCTGCCAAAACTAATATACTAATTACAATGAATATTAACTACAAAATTAACCACAAGCCTTTAGTTATAACTAAAAATCGGCGAAACAATTCAGTATTTACTTTCAGAATAAGCCGAATAATTCTTCCATTCCTTTGTTTATGCCTTTTTTAACCCCTTTTTTGGAACATACATGTATCTATTTATCCCGTGCAATAGCGGGAAAAGAGAATGACAATATGTTTTTGAATGAATTATTTAGTAATACCTCAGCTAATGCATTATAAACTCGAATAATGTCATTGAAAACTCCAGCAAATAATAAACTATTATGATTTTGGATATTATGGATCGAAATATAGTAATTCAATTAAAACTATTCATAAACTTGGTATAAATGACGATGCAAGGTAATCTTGATCTTGTCGTCAAAAGATCCACGGAGTATTCCCCACGCGTTAATTATTGGGACAAAACTTCTCCCAAAAACGACCTCAATACGATAAACGTTTTGCGGCCGGGAATGTTACAGGAAAGTATCCGAAACCCAATTGATTAGATTTATGCAGTAGTTACTTTTTAATAAGGATCGATATAACAAGAAATGATGACGCAATCGTCACTCAGTTAGTACCTATCGCGAGAAACTTTTAATACATGCAGAAGAAGATATCAAAACGGTAGATCCAAAATTTCTATTTTCGAAATTACATTTGATTCATGCAAAAGAAAGGCTGTTGCTGGAAAAAGCCAGAGAGGCAGTTCAAAGTTGGAGTGATGACAAAAAAAATATAAACTATAAAAATTATAAAACAAATGACAATGTTATTATTGATAATAGTAATAGTAAAGATAACGAAAATTAATTTTGCACCAGAGTGACCAAGGAATAGGTTATACTCATCGATGGCTGTGGGACTAAGTATATCCGGCCATGTAATCTTTTATTGCTATTTATATTTTCAAGAGCGATAGCATTGTTACAGTTGTGCAAAATGTAAAGATCCAATCTAACCTTTACTATTGCTTGTCATTTAATATTAATGACCACAAATACAGACTCAAAACAACTTTAGTATTGAGGCAAAATAGGAGAGAGATAATGACTATAATGTGACGAGGACAATTTGCTGCTTTGATATTAGTATTAATATTAGTATTAATATTAATAGTATGCAAGCATATTCATCACGTGATATACCAAGTATAAAAGGAGAAAGTCCCTGGATTTTGTTTACTTGTTACCTTTAATTAATAACGCTAATCCATAATAATAATAAACCCTCGTCGATTCGATAATTTTAAATTATTTAAATATAGTAAAAAAAAAAAAGGCCTGATACAGAATGTGAAAATCAACTTTGCATTCACCACAAACGCATGAATTAATAACACAGTCACACCATTGTCATCTTCCAACCCCTACCTACTCTTTGGAGCTTCAGCTGAGGTAAACGCTTCATCCGCGCCTCCTACTTCAATCGATGTCTCGCATTCGGATGGTAATTGTGCTCCTTCTCACTTGTTGTCAAACCTATGGTTGTATCTAAATACTATATTATGGCCAAGCGTAAGGGCGAGAGTTTCACATTCCCGTACCTCCTGTTCCCACCACCCAATCCTTTTACATGTGCTTCCAATTTTCATATGAAAAATCCTATATTCGTCCAAGTGTGATGTAATGAACACATGCGGTAAAATCACGAGGGAATTTTAAAGTTATAAGAGGAGAGCAAATTTTGGCCATTATTGCAAGATTTGAAATCTGTAAAGAATATTATCAACCGAACAAACTTATACTTTCTTACCCACTACTACAATCAAATAGACATATACAGACACTCACCATGTCGTCTCAAGAATCAATAACCGAGACCAAATCCTCAACCACAGCAACAAAATTCCTACCCGATAACAACTCGACCAAATCTACGCTCGAATCCATACGCAAGAATTCCCCAGCTTTAGACTCTCCTGATCGACTTCGCGAGAGCCTTCGTATTGTCCAACGCGCCGACGCCTATTCTGCCAATCAAGGAAAAACCATACTCTATTATATGGTCAATCCAAATGAACTTCGTGAACATCATAAAGTGTGGCACTATTTCTACCTGTGCGTCTTAATCACCGCGGCTTTCGCAGCTATTTTTATCGGTCCGGTCATATTCGGTATGTTGGCCATGTTTGCTGGAATTGGCGCGCCGATTGCGCTGTCGTTTCTTGGCAGCGGTATTGGACTACTTTCGGGTATCGGTTTTGGTGTATTATTGGCCGTTGTTTGTATCGTTGCCTTGGTAAGAGCTGTTGGCATAGCTGCCGAGTGGATTTTGAACACATTGTGGTATGGCGGAAGCGATTTGTGGGAGATTACTAAGGCGCAGATGAAGTATATCATTTCGTCTGAGGATGAATAAAAGCAATTACATGCTGATTCAGAAAATGATGACATAAAGTTTAGTAAAGGGTGGATGTGCACCGATTTCTGTTTGTTTGTTTGTTTGTTTGTTTTTCCCGTACGACGGATGTTATTATGATTATTATTATTACTACGACCATTATTACTCTTATTTTGTCGTCTTTATTACAAATAAATGTTGCGCAGGTTTCGTGATGTTAACTGAGGGAAACAGCATTGATGGGTAACTGTGAACTGGGGAGAGAGGAGCCATGATTATAGTACATGAATTTAAGTCTTTTGGCAAAATCTCTTCTATGAGAGATATTTTTAGATCAACACACTGCAAGATAATTGATTGAACACATCTCTTTGACGGTGATTGGTGTTCAAATAGATAAACATGCATTCCTCTTATACGTTAGAGTAGATAGGTAGACAAATTTATAAACTTTTTTTTTCTTGTCCTTTTATTGACCGATGAATTTCTTCATACATTCCCACCAAATTATACCCAGATTGTTCAATTATTACACTTAGAAAATAATAATGCATATTATTATACATAAACGAACCGTTTTTTATCTTCATGCGGGCAGAGAATAAGGTGCCCATATCTACTTCACCAGAAATCATCATCATTTCATCATCGTCATCATCATCATCTCAATGAACATCATCTCAATAAACATTAAAATCTTCAACATAATCCATCAGCGATCATCAGTAATCACAGTGACCATCAGCCTGGTCAACGCAGATTCGCACCGATCATCTCGAGAATCAGATTTGTATTGCCTCTCCAGAAGATTCTTTGTGCCAGACGACCTTCACGATTTTAACAAAAGGCCGAATATATAGCGTTTGTATCACTGAGCTAGCGATATTATACGTCGCTGCAACTGGCCTAACCACCAATGAATTTACTAGGATGCTCGTCGTAGATTGAGATGACTTCAGATGGGGAAAAGAGCTTGTTAAGCGAGAGTGAATTAGAGATAAATTCGAAGGATCGTACGAAGATAGGTCGCCCGTAATTAAAAGCTGTTGGTTTGATCGCCTGGTCGTCATAATCGAGAATTTGAAAATAAACGATATTAGAAAGTAAAAAATAAAGTCAGTGAATTTCATAATATTGCAAATCATACACAAGCAAAAAAGAAAAACACATATTCATCAATATACTCTCCAATCCCAAAGACACGCACAAATCAAGAACAACCTCTCTCAATACATCCAATTCTGCTTTCTGCTCGCTGAGTTTCGCTTCCAAATTTTTGACCTTTTCAGTTGTAAGCGCTAACTGATCTGCCTGAGTGTCATCCTTGCGCTGTTCGTCTTCTTTACTTTCCGAGACTACAGTCTCTCTATCTTCTTGCTTATCCGTCTCGTCGCCAAATTTATTTTCCCATCGACGCAAAGTTTCTTCCATTCTTTCGGTAAGATTAAGTTGCCGAATCAACAGAGCTTCATAAGAAGAGTGTTGTGATAGTTGTTCGGTACGTTGGGGCTGGAATAGAGTGTCGGGGGTTTCCGAAACCTGTTATATACAGAAAGGAGCAAATATGCGTTGGTACACATACATGCGTTGTTGAGTAAAGCACATTGCCCAGTTTATAACCCAATATCTCCAATCGTCGTAAATTCCTCGTTTTATCACACACTTTCCATTATTCTCACCTTATTCCTCAATGATTTTTCATAATTCGTCATCTTACTATCATCGCTTCTATACACATGTTCTCTATCTACAGGTGATTCCACAAACACGTCAGTGAAGTTAACAATGGGTGTGGTATTAAGGGAAGACGTTAGTGGTAGGGGCGTTGGCGTCGTTGGTGGCGGCGGAGGTAAAGATGGCGAGAGAGGAGGTGATAATAAGTTGGGATAGTCTAGTTTCGATGAATCGAATTCTTTTTGTTTTTGGCGTTCATTTTTGTTTTCTATGACGTTTTTTCTATCTTTATTTTCTCCTTCGGTTTCTCCTTTACCCAGACCTTCGTAAGCGAAATCATTATCTTCTTCAACATCCGCTTCCGCAAATGACGTAGCCGGGGTATTTACCTCGCTACCACCCAGTTCATTCTTGTAACCATTGCTTTTGACTGCATTCTCAACACTTTTATAAATTTTTTGTCCTTGACTCAAAGACCTCTTTAGAATGCCCTTTGGTCTCTCGGTAGCCGGCGAAGTAGGAGCTGAAATAATCGAGAGACTATTGGCAAGAAAAGACGGAATTCCGATGGAGGTAGATGTTTCACCGGGAATTCCTCGCGTCGAACTTTTAGACGTGAACAAATCCAAGTTCAAAGATAATCTGTTCTTTGTACGATTGTTGCGTGTTCGATCCTCATCCGGGTATGACTCTGAGATGTTTAGACTGCGCCGTTTAGACTTTGAATCTGGAAGTGGACTCAAGAGATTCTGGTCAAGGTCGTCGTTGTTGAACGAAGGCGGTTTGCCCAAGCTTAGACTTCGACTCCGAGTGTGCTTGCTTACGTCGGACTCGATCTCGGACTCGGATGAGCTATGAAATATGTCCATAAAACTACGACGTTTGATTCTTTTCTCGGCGGTTTGACTTTTGGCCAGTCTACGTTTGTCGGATGATCGGTTAAGCTTCTCGGACAAGTCCTTTTTCTTTTCGCCTTTAGCGTTATTTTTGAAGAAACTGAAACTCCGACGTTTCGCTTTTTTCGATTGAGAGTCATCGGTCTCTGTTGGGGATAGAGTCATGGTCTGAGGAGTGCGGACACTGTAGCGGATGCGTTTGGTTGGGTCCTTGTTGCTCGATGCTGATGTTGACGAGGATGTTTTGCGGTCAGTCGAGGTCGATGAGAACGACTGGTTGTCGGTATCCGTTTTAGGTAGCGTAGTTTCAAGCGTGAGAACGTTTGTTGGGGAAGACGGTTGTTCAATTTCGACGGCAGCCATTATGGGTGATAAATTCACTATCGCGGCAGGAAGGGAGATCGAATAGAGAAACGAAAGAAGGGGGGTGTATGTATGTGCGATAGGGGTCGTCTATATGCTTCCCCGTCAATTGTGACCGAACCTCTCAGGGTATTTGCTTATATAATTTCCCTATAGGGTTACAACAGTGGAAAGATAATATGCATATTTATTTGTATTATAACTTTATTTAATCATCGCACGATTAAACGATGAAACACGCTACAGCCACCTGTCATACATAGAATACACATAAACATGTACATATATATATATTGTACGGCTTTCCATGAAGATTATCCTTCAAATTCAGGCTGACAATCGTCAATCATTGGAGCAAACAACACTTAAATATAATTAGATTAAGCAAAAGGCTTCTTTATCTGCTCGCATTTGTCAATAAGGGAACAAGGTTCGTTCAAAATGACCTTGTTTCGCTCCTGGCGAATAATATCTCCTCTTTCCCTTCCATTTATATGTATAATGCTCTGTCGCCATAAGCAATAGAGTTAAGAGCTAGATAATAAATACCCACGCGACGATAAGCTCGATATCGACACACGGGGCATTGAAGCGATGAAAGAAACATTCACAGCTCTCGCGTAACACTGCATATCAATATAGTGTCCATTCATATTATTTGTTACGATTAATTGCTTGTGATAATGCCGATTGCTACTTATCTTGTTAATCGATATGTAGGAAACCTGTATACAAAAAGGGAAATTGTCAGGGTGTATAACAGAGACACAAAGTCATCTGATCATTTATACAAGGAATTCCCACGTTATAGTAAGCAACAACAAAAGAAAAGATGGAGAGGGAAAGTAAAATAGAAAAAGAGTGTATCTAATGCAAAAAAGGAGTATGCTATGCGAGATTTTATTATCACCATCATCATTATTATGTCAAAGCGCAGGGTTAACAGATTTTGGCGTTTCGATAAGAAAAATAAATAAACTAACCAAAAAAAGATGGAGGAGCAGTGCGCATAACATAAACGTTGAATGATTATCGAGAATCGCAAAAAAGTGCTTGTCAAAATAATGTTGCAGCCACTGCTTTGTGATTAAATGAGCCTTTCGTGGACGTAATAACGTCATGGTGCATATGTTGGTCTCCAACAGAAAATGTCTTGCGCACGATCATGTCTGAATAGATGTTTTGCAGATCCAAGAATGTAGTGCATTCTTTCATACATGACGCTTCCGTTTTCCACATAACAAACGCATGACAAATTTTTTTTATTATTATTACATTCAATTATATGTATTATAGCCTGGATTAATGTCCTTTTTCACCATCAAGCGATTCTATTTACAACCGTGTCGTGGCGATATTCCCGTTGCTATGCTAATCTAACTAGTCTCATTCAGTGCCCAATAGTCCAACCCGCCCAATTCCATGCCTTATGTCGCCATCTAATTGATCACATGTTAGTAGAAGACAATTACTGTTTCTCTCCCTTTTACCATTCGATTTACGTGTTTTGATATCTCTGCATTATTAAATAAAATTTTCTTGAGCCGAATGATATGGAGAAGAGTCTGACTGAGAGGATGACACACTATTGTTATCTGAACTGGTGTCATAAAGTTTGACTGTCATTTTATTGAAAGAAGAGGAAGACGAAGCAGAAGATGAGGGGACAGATGGTGGTGAAAGCCCATTACTAGCGTTTTTTGTGAATCTGGGATTTGGCATACAGTCACATGCGTCTTTTCCCTTTGTCGCGTCATCCTCACAGTCATCGCCATCATTGCCGGCAACCGTATTGTTCTCATCGGTCTTCTTTCTTTCAATCATCTTATTAACAATTTCTTGGTTTTTCCTCAACCTTTCCTCCCAAGCAACCATGTCTGACCGCCTGTTGAGCATTTTCTTTGCAAGATCCCACGTCTCGTTCAACCTTTTCTCTTTATTAGACAGAAACTTCTCGACGTTTTGTAATGCCTCTAAAGCTGCAGCTAACTCACTAGATAGCGAATCGATACTTTTTGGTTGTGATAAAGCAGGCTTATCAGCTGACTGACATATTATAGAAAATTTATCTTTAGACTTGCCCTTTCCAGAAACAGATCTAAGAAGGTCTTCGACTTTCTTCTGCTTTTTGTTCAATGTCTCTTCTCGCACATCAAAATCTGATCGTTTTTGTATTAAATCGTTGACAGCATTGTGGACGATATCTAAATCCTGTTGATGACGCTGGTCTGTCGAGCCAGCTTCTTGATCGATGGCTGTATTCCTTGCTCGGATGCGGGCAAGAAGATCACTTAATGTTCGCGCATTCCCAGTATGAACTTCATTCTGTGAAGCTTCTGAGGAACCTGAATATCCTTCCGACGGTATGTCATCTAGTGAGACATCATCAGCTTCAGACTCTGTGTCGGGAGCCAGGAACGTTTGAGGAAGACAAGCAAGCCAATTTTGAACTCGCTCATGAGGCGGAAAAGGCGATTGTCGTTGAGCACGCAGATTTGCAAATAAGAGAGATTGCTGGGAAGCCGTAGAATTGCTTTTGACGATTGATGGAGTTGTTCGTAAGCGAGATGACTTTACGTGGTGTGTTAAAGTAGTTTTAGCTAATGATGTTGATTCAGGGAACGGTGATGAAGATTTTGGCAACGATGCAAATGAATTATGGGCATGTGATGAAGATTTTGGCATCGATACTAGGGAATTATGGGGATATGATGAAGATTTCGGCAGCGACGCTAGTGAATTATGTGGTTGTACCTGTGGAGACATGCGTTGTTGTGACAGTGACTTGGTCGTTATTGGTAAACCCAACGGTGTGCTCTTGGACGAGGAGGAATTCGATGATATCATTGCCAAGGATGGCAACGTCCGGGGATACGTCGATAAAAACATTTCTTTACGCGCATCTTTGGCTGTCGGAGTACACATATTGTTTTCGATAAATGGACTTTCGGGATCCTCTATAGGAAACAGCTGTCTATTCGTGTCTTCAAATGTCTTGTGCTCTCTACTCCCCACCCTAATTCTCTCAACGTGTGGTTCTCCGTCATATTTCCTCAATCTATCCCGAATAATTCTCTGCGATTTGACCAATTGTCTGATTGTCTCGAACGATGCAATATTATGATTCTCGTATTCTCCTCTCCTTTCAGTCTCCATGTGAGAAGAACCAAATCGGTTAATATATAAAAGAGCACAAGTTAGAGGAATAATTTCTTCTTTTTCCTTTCAATACTGTACATTTAACGCAAGAAATGTTTACTACTCGCTTTAGAAACCACGCGAGCCGATAATTGACTTATCATGTGACAAATAGTCTTGTGTGATTGGTTCCAGGCACATGCACAATAAGTGATGACGCGCAGAGAATACAGTTATAAGGGCCTTTTTATAAGGACCACTTGTGCTTTCCCAAATCGTATATTCTTAATGATACTACGCTTCATGTAAGGACCCACACAAACACATATAAATACACGAAAGAATAAAACACACGCGACGATGCGCTTTGAAAATCACCACGTCGAAGAAAATAATTTTAGTTGACCCACAAAACCAGTGATGGGACAGTCTGACTCTTAGTCCAATCCAGCGCTCGCTGGACCCATTTACATCGGGCACAGATGACCTCTTGGCTTGTCTGATGTTTCTCAGAAGACTTGAAGAATATTAAACAGGGATTTCAGCTCAACAAAAGGAAAGCAAAAAATTGGGAGAAGCAATGCTCAAGGAAGCAAGTTCATGTCCACCAACTGGCCTTTACAGAAGCAGGGTGATTATCTACAGCAATACAATTGCAATTGGGATAGAACCATTAGGCTACGGCAAGCCGATCTGATGAATCAGATAATCGAGTCGCATGCGTCGCTTGATACATGGGTTCAAGAAGTTTTAACATTGCATGCACCCGATTCCATTCATTGTTAAGCCATAGATATTCGTACTTCCTTCAGTTTGACAAACTTTGTAAAAATACTTGGGCTAACAACAGATAATGACACAAGCATGTTAGTCGCAGGGCATGAGTTACAATCAGTACTTGCGTCGGCAGGAAATAACGAATATAAACATTATCGGTGTGCAGCGCACATTCTAAATATTGCAGTAAAACATGGGATGCAACTTGAAACTAATGTCATCAAGAAGGTCAGAGATTATGTGAAGAAAGTAGTACATTTCTACAATTCTACATGCGAGCATTTTTATAGCAAAAAGAATCACCAATGAAACAATCATCCTAAAACCCAAATTAGAAGTCATGGGTGAAGAAGCAACGGGTCGCGTTGACTATGTTATCAAAAAAATGTTCCCAATGCCAAATATGATGAACTTATTTGCATTACTGAAGGAAAATAAAGTGATTTGTACAAGGGATATATGCAAAATATTATGCAACTCGATAACGGATACCATGCAAACATGAGAAAACGTAAAGCATCTAAAGCTTTTAGTGGTGAATTTGACTACCTATATGGTATTGTTAGTACCGGTAAGTTACGAAGGTGAGATTACTTCGCAAAGTATGATATGGATAAAAAGTTATACTTATACCCTCAATCTTAGCTATGGGATGGCACTTCATAATGAAAACATTATCGTCCCACTTAGTGATGATATTTTAGAAGATGATACAGAACTTCGACGTCATGTGAAAAAGTCATGGAAGTAATTGTGGGGTTGTTGAAGGATCGAGTTATTGTAGATGATTCATCTGATTCACCGGCTAATAAGAAGGCTGGAACAGAGAAATACATTGAAACGTAAATAATCTTAGGATAAAATTTTCTTATATCGTTATGTATACATTTTTAGTAACGGAAAAAAATTACCATGTTGATAAAGGTTTATTTCTGCATCAATAAACTCAATGCTTCACATTATCAGTTGGTTTACGTCTCAATTTTTTTCTTTTGCCATAACTCTATCGCTTTTTGTAAATTTAATGAAGTATCAAACCTTAGACGTATTTTAGGCTTAACTACATAAATTCTCCTTTTCGAAGGTACCTATCGTCTAAGGGCAGTCCCATGACCAGTATAACTATATTTATACGATTAGTAGTATACGAAAAAAAGAAGGTAAATGAATTTCGTTACAGGTATACATGAAAACCTAAAAGCATTTAAGTACATTGATCTTTATAATAATCGACTAAGCTGTTGAAATAGATTTAAATTGGCCAATTTATAGAACTTACACTCCCGAAGAATGGGTTGAATATTGCTGGATGCCACGAGAGTGGAAACAACGAATTTGGTCTCGCTTGCAGTATTTCAAAGAAAATGATCTTTTACCCATCGAGAGTAAAAAATATTTTAATGGATACGCTTTCAAGATGATACATCATACGCTCCTACAATAGGACTTGCTATCTGTTTATCTTGCAACGAATTAGTATACACTGGAAAAAACATCAGAATTTGCATGTACTGGTAATAAATATTGCGAACTTAAGTATAATGATGAAGACTTTTTGAAAATTAAATATAAACCCGTACATTTGACGATATGCGTGCCTTGCACTATTATGAGCTATGGATATCAAACGCGATCAGAAAGTCGGGAAGCATGTGCCCTCATTCAACGTAAATGGATAGAATTCATGTATCATCCCAATGGTTTAATTGTCAAGCAGTTAGCGGAGCATTACAAACTTTTATAGACTATTTGCGAAGCAGCAGAAATCTCAAATGTCCTTGCATGAGTAATTTCAGAATACCACAGCGCCAAGAAAAGCAATATTTCGAATCCAGCTCAATAATTTTTTTAACAGTCTCGTCAAGCAAGTGAGTTTTAATAAGAAGCAGAAAGAATGCTTATGCTTAATTTATTTCTCCATTCCCATATGATTATAATTTCCTATATTCTTCTTTCTTTGTCCAGTATATACTAACTAATCACAAGAGAAACAGATTGCTATTCCGATTTCAGGAACATATGAACCGCCATCCGAAAATCGTGTTAATTTCCTAGCTTCAAGATATCTTTTACTCTGATCCGGGCAAAGATCATTTTCTCTGAAATACGTTAAACGGGCTCAAATCGTTCTTTCCATTTACTAGGAGTTCCATGGATGCAAACTTGTGGCATATTTCAATATTCAGCCCATTCTTCAGGACATAAATCTGCCTATTTAAATCCATTTAAATTATCTTATTCAACGAATATGTTTAAATGTTTTTCCTGTATAATATGATTTCGGTTCAGTATTCAACTTCAATTCATGATTCAATTTTATTTAATCCGTATAAGCAGAAATCTACTTTGAACATAATTTCTGAGAAAATTTTTCACGACGGTAGCAACGGCTGTATCAATAGTTATTTTGCTTTTCAATCCGGCATTTTTTTTTTACATTACCATGAACACGCGGCATTATAACCATTCGCTTCTAGATGGTTTCTGACGTTTTCCAATGAGTGTGATCAATTCCCAACATATTGAGATACGTTTTCTGACAAAGTTAACGTATTGCGATCTCAGTAGTAAACGTTTGCTTATTAGTACGCGTTTTCTTTTTAAGGCGTCGGCTGCCAGTTATTTCTCCACCATTTATTTCTTTCAACTGGGCCATTAAAATATATCTTGTTCAGATCTTGAAAGGCTTCTCTTAGTTCAACGAAGCTTTTTTTTGAAACCTTGGAGGAGCAACTACAACCACAACCTATTTTCAAAAACTCAATTGCTTTTTCATATTGTTACGGCGCGCTGATCTGATGAATCAGATAAGTAAGTCACATGGTAAAATCTTCCTTCGCAGTCATGCAGATCCCATGATCGACAATTAATTTTAGAATAGTGGTACGCGATACCATCCGTTATCGATTACTGATACCTTTTGTTGCAATTTTTGGTAATCGCTAGTTATATAAGCGGCCCTTATTCCATTGTCAAATTCTCATGTTGTATATGTTATTTAGTTTGTTCACATTATTTTTCCACTTCACGGAATTAAAGATATCAAATAAACGATTCCCTTTGAAATCAAAACTTTACTTTCTTTCATAGTTGCAATATTAATTATTTAACAGGATATTAAAAAACGGCCACTCAAGTAAAAACAGCTCACTTAAGCTGTATAAATTTCCGTTGATCTAGTACTCTTAATTGAGGAACGAGAGTTATTAATTATTTATTAAAA